GACTATATTTTGGCACTACACAATGAATTTTATGTTTAACAAATATTAATTTATGTTTGACAAAAATACAAGGAGTTTTTACAAAACTGTAAATTTCAAGGGCTTTTCAAACTCCCTTGAAAGTCAGAAATTCATTCAAGAAGTATTTAAGGACTTCAAGGAGTAGCACAAAACCTGGACAAAATATACAACAATGTCAACACCAACACCAAAATATCAATAGCTTTACTGAACGGTTTTTACTGTCAAATTGAATAAATTTGCCTTGTCATCAATATGCAAAGCATGGTATACACTGCATCCAAAAATTATATGCAAATGTATTTTTTCAAAATAACGTTAGCACATTTGAACCTATGGAAATGTTTCCCTTGTAAAATGTTTTCCTCTTCTGAGTATTACCTAAAGATCGCCTTTTTACAGAATATATATATATATATTATCAAATGTCCATTGTTTATATGCAACTATGTTTCACCCTTGTAAAATTTGAAACTTTCGAACCAAAAACAGAATGGAAGGATAAAAATGTGAGAAAACAATCTTTTATTTAAGTTTTGGGTAAATACACAATTTTATTATACAGGGTGTATAAAAAAAACTGCACAGATTTGAAATTGCTCTTAAATTCGCAAAACAGCTATTAGTATCCAGTTTTTTTATGTATATAGCTTCTTCCATCTTCTTTCCATCTGTTAACTTAAAATATGATTAAAGCTTTTAAATTTTGTGCGCAAGCCATTTTTAGTTTGTTGGAAAAGACACTCCCCCCCTGGTTCACAAAATTTGAGTTTGAGAAATTTTTTCCATTTTTCTACATTATAAGTACCCAAAGAAGCTATATACATAAAAAACTGGATACTAATAGCTGTTTTGCAAATTTAAGAGCAAATTTCAAATCTGTGCAGTTTTTTTTTTATACACCCTGTATGGCAAGCATTTGTTTTGATGAATCGTGCAATTTGATTGGCTGCTGACGAGGCAGGATTTGCCCACAGGCAATTTTCAATTTTTATTGCCCTATGAAGCTGTGACAAGAGCCAAGTTTCAAACAGCAAAAAGTGTCTATATAAGTCGAACTTTCTTTGTTAGCGAATGTTGAAATTAAAAGGTAAATTTTACAATGTTTATAACTATTAAAGCAATCAAGAATAGTTACGTTTTGACTATGTGAAGAGCTGCAAATTTTATTTGCCGATGGCCAGGAGGAATCTGACACCAGCTAAATAAAAACTACAACTAAAGCAACCACAGATTTATAATTTTTCCCTGAAAATTTCTGTTTTTGTTAGATAAAAAGAGATAAATATATGAGATGAAGCAAACTAAAAACATACTTGCTGATGCTGTTTATTAATTTTATTGTTTTCATATTTGTTGTCTTTGATTAAATGACAAAATACCTCATATTTTTCTTGAAATACTATCCAAACTGTGATAGTATTCTTAAAAAGTGCTGTAGAGTAGTTTTACTAACCAAGGCGTGAACTTGTCGCACATCTTTTACAAATGTACAATGCCATATAATAAAAACTTACTTGGCCTCAACTGTTCAGGCAGTATGGGAAAATATCCAACCTCGGTCTTGCTGTATTGACCGCGCTATCACTTGGTCACAAAGGATATTTTCCTGTGCTGCGCTCGGTCAGTAAGTTATTAATCTTCATTGTATTCACAATGTGACAATTTTACCGTCAATACTTAACGTAAAAACCCTGATTAGCCACAACCACAATTAGTATAAACCTACTAGTAGGCTATCATGTATTGCTATTAGTGATAGCCTACTAGTAGCAACAAGCGGCGAAGGGTGCGAGAGTCAATGACCGTTTTAGTGTGATTCGAAACTTCACAGTATTGTGATGAGTGGTGAAAAATTCAAACAAATCAGTCAGTCAGTCAATCGTAGAGTAAACTTTCCGGGGGTGTATACGATTTATGTTTGTAGTGATTTATTGTACTTAGAAGGTTATTTAGGCACTTTCTGTTGTCTTACTTAAATATTCTTTTATCCTTTTGCCAAGTTCACAAAAATTTCGTTATTTTAATTTTTTGTAAATTTTACAACATTTGGTTCTCATGTTGTGTAAAGGATCTCTACCCCGCAACACCAGATGTTTTCTTTAGCAGTGCAAATGTGCATGGCGCTATCAAGCCATAGATCATGATGGCGTGATGATGCTAGGAAGGAGCGACAGTACGTGTTCTTTTCAAATGTATAAACATTTCAGACATGAATATTGAGTAAATCTTTGAGAATCTACGCAATATATAAATTGATGTTATGCATTCAATTAAGTGCCAATATTATTTAGATGGTATATTCATTATACAGAGATAGGAAGGAGCTAGGACAGTGCTTTTTTAAAGTGTATATAACATTTCAGATGTAAATATGAGTTGAAAATCTTTGAGATTCTAGGCATTCAATTGAGTGCAGATATTATTTTCACAGTATACTCATTATACAGAGGTAGGAAGGAGCGAGACAGTGTTGTTTTCAAATATATAAACATTTCAGACATGAATATTGAGAAAATCTTTGAGATTCTACGCAATATATAAATTGATGATGTTATTTATGCATCACCGGCGCCCAATTAAGTGCCCATCGATATTATTTAGGCTGTGTATTCATTATACATTGACTGTATCAGGTGCTACACCACAGAATAGATGGCTACACTCAGTACAAAGAGCGAAAAATTGCATCACACAATAAAGCATAAACAACTATTAAACAGAAGCGGGTATTTGTATGGCAAATATGAAGAAAATAACTTGCGATCGAGACTAAAGAAATCAGTTGAGTCTGAGCTCTTTAGTTAAACAAAAAAGACGAGGAGATAGCCAGCGTGTTATCGCCAATCGCTTGGCTCGCCAACAGGCTTTATGCAATAGAAGAAAAAGTCAAGGAGCAAACTCATGTTCAGTGCAACGATAACTCATCTGTACACAGAGCCATATCAAAGCTTGTTAAAACTGCTATAAACGCTGCTATAATTGTGAAACTATTGAAATCTAAAGTGACATTGAATACATGCGAAAAGCTGAAAATGACTCATGAAATGCAATGTGACATTGGGAATAAGTCAAAGGTCAATCAGACTTGTTATTGTGAAACTTGTCACAATTACGTTAAAATGCAGAAGCGGATGGACGGGATTCACAGAAAGGATATGGGGATAAAATATAGAACGGATGGGAATAAAGTGTGTTCTTTTAATGATGCAACATCTTAGTGCTGATTATTCATAACATATCTTATACAGCTATTTCAATTAAAGTTGTCACTGAGACAATAGTCAAATGTGCAATATGGGTACTAAAAGGATGATGGGAAAAATCATATTAAATAATTTCAGCGCATCAGTAGCCTTGTGAGGATGCTTTTAGCGACGGTTGCAAATGCAAATGAAGTTTTAGAATATGCAAAATTTGGTTGTTGGTGAAACAATTTAAATTTGAGTTGTTGCGTGTAGCATCACAGTAAATATATAAATTGTATCAGTTCCACATGGCACAACGTTTCTGTGGTGTTAGGCTTGTTTTAAACGTCACACTACTCATGCTGAACGTATTATAAAGACAATAGATGAGTTGAAATGCCTTTGGTAACGGTTTATTTCGCAGTGTAAGCTATCAGCTTTTCTAGGTTGTCAGCAACCCTATATAGTACTTGCAGTGTCTTTTTCAATTTGAAACTTCGCACTATCCTTGGATCCCTAGTTAAGTATTAAAAGCTGCATTTAAAGGAAAAAGGCTTATCAAAATGGACCAATTTTGTTTCTGGATTACACACACTCTTGGAAACTGCTGACACACATGGTAAAGTTTTTAAGGTTTCTCAATTTTGCTGGTAGTTTTTCAACAAAAGTGACAGGCAATTTTTTAAACATATCTATGACAATGTTTGTTAATCTTCCAAGCAGAACTGCTGAAATTCGACAATAGTTTGTAGCTACTTACCCCTATTTTCTCAACCTCTTTAGTGTGTGCTTCTTTCAAGTACGAGTTCACATATTTAGCTATCATTTTAAAGATTTTTTTGTATAAATGTTGAGATTTTGACGAGTTTGTTTTTCGCCTTTTCATCCTTTTTAATCGAGTTTTTCAATTAAATTTTAATCTAAAATTTTGTCTATGTATACTAGATGATGGAAATGGTTTACCTCTTTATAAAGATTATATATTAAAGATTTTAATGACATTTGGATTCTTCTTTTGCATTCATTTTCATTCAGATTTTTAACATAAACTTTATTTAGTAACAATTCGGGAAGCCAATTTTGTGTAATTAGTCAGACTTTGCTTGTATAATGACCACTTGCTATTATACTGTTTTATGACATGTTCCACTTGCTATTATAACTGTTGTAAGACTTGCAAATAGTATTTTTCAGATCATTCTTGGGAGTTGTCAACAAGGCTGAGGGGAAATGTTGCAAAAGGAAGCCATGTAAATGCTCATTTCCTTAAAAAGCTATTATTTTACATAAAAATCAAGTTAAAAATTCAGTTTTTATGGGGTTTATTACTAAAACAATTAGACAACTCAGCCTCGTCTCTGAGCGAATAGTCAACTCTGCAGGGGTTTCAGAATAAGCCGGCGGCCGGTGCAGTTCCGCCGGCTACTTGAAGTTTTACCGCCGGCTACTTTTTTTCGTCTGGTCACAGGAATAATTTTATATACAAAGGTACAAGTAAACCAACACTTAATACATGATGTTCGTTAAGTTCCAATTGGAATTCAAGCAAAATATCACTTAATTTAGAAGATCAATTAATACATACTATGATAGCACCAAAAAAAGATGTTGCTTTCGGCTATCTTAATTTCACTTGCTTTCTTAAGTTGCTGTCGAGAAAGCGATAATATAAACATTCTTTGTTTTCTCGTCGCCATCTTGAATTTGTAACAAATTGTCAGCGGTTTGAAGCAAGAAAAAAGTAGAGACTTCATGTACCCCTTACCAGATTAAGTGCACATGGGCAAAATAATGGCAGATAAAAGGAAGAATCCAGGTGCAGGGACGAATCATACGCTTTTTTCTGCAGGGTTTTTTAAAAAGCCACAAACCAGTGCAGGTAATTAACTGAATGAGCAGAGCAATTTGTTTGGTATTAATTTGTTCATTCAGTCGTGTCTTTTTGGGCATTTAATTGTGTTACGAATATTTACGGATTTACGGTTGAAAGACTAAACTACAGTACAGAACTAAATATAAACTCCCAGGTTAATGAATAATGAATAAATGTTTTTTAATAGAGGCATTTATTCATTGTATAGCTTTTAAACACATTTTTTTCAAATGGTTTGTGTGTCAGTTTCACGGGCGTCACAACTATGTATAATTGAAGTAGTGTATAAAGGAATTGGGGTTTTGCTTTAAATTATTAGTACTCGAAAAAATAGTTTAATATTTAAGGCAGTATTATTTGTTTAACAAACTGTATTAAAGACAGCAATTTATCCTTCATTTTCCTTCACATTCAGTCAGAAATTTTGCCGCCAAAACTTACCATCGTGTGATGCTTGCTTATTATTTTTATTAATTTATTGATATACAGATACTAGACGGTATCCTCATTTATGGATACTGCATGTCTAGTATCATTTCCTCCTCAATTCAAATATTCTTTTTATAAAAGTAAAAAGTTTCAAATTTGATCAGTGTGATCTACATGTAATCTGGATTAGATAAAATACAGACCACATCTGCGGTCTGATCAAGTCCACGTCTGCGGTCAAGACATTTTACAGGCGACGATCAATCAGAATCGACAGACTGAATATATGTAAATCCAATAAATTCCGTTTAGTACATGCACATATAAAATAACTGAACATTGATTTGGCCAATTTTAGAACAAAGAGTGGAGCAAAACGACAGTGGGCCTGTTGTTGATATTCTTGAATCTACACACAGTACAGTAACTTCATCAGTTAACGAGAACACAAAGGAAGCTCCTGACCATAACATTGACAAGCCGGAATCAGCGACTCAAGGCAATACTGTGCTGTTTAGTGATTCAAATAGGAAGATTAGTGTCACGCCTGTTTCAACAAAAGATGCAAAACAACTCCTAGAAACCTCTTTTGCAGACTGTTCCCACCTACATAGCTACTATTGCTGTCAAGAAGAGCACTGCACAAATATTAGCAAAACAGAATATGAAAGAATCAAGACAATCACAAGGGACAAATTTCAGCATCACTGGATATTTGACAAGGAATTGAGCTACTGTAAGAAAACTGGGTTTTATTGGCTGGTGTTTGAGGAGGGGAACGGAATGTTCTGCTCAGGTGCATTAATGCATGGCTCCAATTTTGTAAGGAGTGAGGAAATAGGAAAAATCTTTAAAAATTAATTAAAAATTAACAAAACACACTATGACTCTCATTTTTGGGTGAGATGTTGGAAATCAACTGCCGATATTTTTCAACTATTTGGTTTCCATGGAAACCGGTCACGTGACAAGATATAAGCGGTGATAATGGAAATTAACTTACTGTTTTAAAATATGGCTTGCCGACACACTAAACATTCATACATATGTACAAAAATATTATCACGGAACCTTTTACTCTTATACTTCATTGCTGTAATTAGAAACTTGAAGATTTTGCCACAGATATGAAAATATTGCTATGAATACAACAATGTCTCGCACAATGTCAATATGATTTGCAATAAAATGATCGTTCCAGATTACAATGCTTACAATTCTAATTGTAGGACCAAAGTTGGCTGTACTCTGGACAAAATCTGCGTATTAACGACCCACATTAACGTTGTCTTATGTGTCGGCAAGTCCAACACGTTTTTCGCGTGATGAATTCGCGCACGCCATAATCATTATAGGTCCCTGCCGTGAAACAAAATATTATGAAATACAAATACACAGACAATGACTAACAAACTGCAACTAATAGTATGTGGTGCATTCAAAGAATATGTGAGTAACAGAGAGAATAATATGCACAGAAGTACAATATGATACATATGCTCGTTTATATATTGAACAGAATATTCGACACAAGTCTGAGCCTTTGTATGAAAGAATATTATATTTCAACAACAACATTTTATATTGCGCCCTTAAGAGTTTTAAGAGAAATATGTCACACTAAAACGAGTAGTAAAACATCACCACCCCAAGAAAGTTTGAACCAGCCATATGCTGGGTAATTATTTGTATTTCAAATATTTTTCTGTGCGTGGGAAACTAAAGAGAAAACACAAATCAATGTTGAATAATTCAGACATAAAAACCCGCAATAGCGAGCTTTATATATTAAAGTTCAAAGGTCGCCACATATCGCATATGATATATTATACTATACAACGGCCAATTGTACAAGAAAAACTAATAATTTACTATCCCTGCTGGTTGCTACAATCTAACATGATCCAACAGCTCATATTTATTCAATTTCAGTTTCATTCGAACGCTAAAACACACTAAAATAGCAACACGCTATATATGTTTAATCACATGCGCAACTCGCGCAGAGATATCAAGTCAAGCGTGGGCAGAGCCAAGCATTAATCGGCCTGAGTGCCTACTTTGCAGAAAACATGATACTTCGAATCTCCAGAACAAGGCAAAGAAGTTTAATGTGAGCGCTTCAGTTAGGTACAAACGAAAATCAGTTGAAGAACATGCAAATACCGATCAACATTTGGCAGCTGTGGAGGCTGAACTAATGAACAGGGTTTCTACTTTCCAGTAGCAGATTGACAAGAGAGAGGAGATAAAAGAGGACATGTATTATAACATATTTTTGAGCTTGTACTGGATTGCCAAAGAAGAACTTGCCAATTGCAAATTTGTTTGACTTACTGAACTACTCCGATTACTGAAACTGCCTGATATCCAGTACTTTGACCATAAGTCGGCAGGTTCTGTGAGGCAGATGTTTCTTATTCTTGGAGAAACAATTAGAGAGCAAGTTCTTCAGAAAGTAGGCAAAGCTAACTTCTTCAGCATTCTTTGCGATGAAGTTTGCGACGTCTCAAACAAAGAGCAACTCATCAGTTTTGTTCAGTACGTTGATCAACACTCTGGCATGCCAGATGTCAAATTTCTTGCAATTGATGATGTTCTTGAAGAATTTACTTCTGCCAATGCCAATGCAATCAAAAGCATGTTAATCAAGCAGATGGCCGCAGCTGAGCTTGACAAGACAAAGCTAACTGGTCTTGCTACAGATGGCTGCAGTGTTATGACTGGTAAGAAAAATGGAGTAGCTGTTCAGTTGCATAGAGAATGCAAGCTCATGTTGAATGTTCACTGCATATGCCACAGATTGGCACTTGCATGTGGCGATGCCAATGATCATGTTAGCTACATCAAGACAGTCGAGAAGGTGTTGCTGCAGCTTTGGACTTTTTTAAAAAACTCCACAAAGCGAAGTGCAGCCTACGCCAAGGCAGCAGTGGCGGCAAAGGTGCTGGTGGTTTCGAATAATAAAAGCAAGAAAGTTATCGCAAAGAAAGTGAAGAAAGCATGCAGAACAAGGTGGCTGTCAATTGATCTGGCAATTAGAGGAGTGTTTGAAGACTTTGTGCCTTTGACACAAACCCTCAGACTTTACAAACAATTGGAAAATGACAGTACAGCCATTGGCCTGCTCAAGCAAACAGCCAATATCCAGTTCCTTTCTGCTGTGTACCTCCTGCACGAGGCTCTACCTGCCCTTTCTCATCTGAGCAAAGCTTTTCAGCGAGGGACAGTATCATTTTCTGCTATCCAACCAGCAATTGATTACACCCTTGATCAACTTACTGAGATCGCTGCTGAGAAGAAGCCATTGAGAAAATTACAGAAGGACCTTGGTGAAGGTGGCAGGCTTGCCACGACCGAGATTTCTTTGACACCCACAGCTGAGTCTTATCTGCAAAACCTTACAGTGAAGTACACTGATTCACTGAAGGACAACATCAACAATAGATTCTCTGAGAGCCTTCCAGTTTTGTCAGCCTTCAAGATCTTTGACCCAATTGCAGTACCAAACAGATCAGATCTGTCCTTCACGGAATATGGTGTCGCAGAAATCAAGATCTTAGCGACTCATTTCTATCTATCAGGAAGCAGTTGATGCAGATCAAAAAGAGAAAGCAGAGGAGCAAATATGCGAGTGGAAGAAATTTAAATACAACCTGCTGCAATTAAAAAATGAGATACCTCAGCACATTCTGCATCCCCTCAAAAATAGAAATCTGGTTTCTGCAACTCCAACAGAGTGGGCTCTTCATCAAATGTTGTCGCAACGTGCAACATACGAGCACTTTATGCCATTGCTGCTACATATTGTAGAAGTTTGTCTGTCTCTTCCAGTATCCAATGCCTGGCCGGAAAGAGGTGCGTCAGCTTTAAAAAGGTTAAAAACTCGTCTGCGCAACACTCTCAAGAACAACATGTTGGAGGCCCTGATGCATGTCTCGATCAACGGTCCAGGAATTGATGAATGTGGACCCATTATTGAAGCTTCTGTGAAGAAATGGTTACCCAAACGTAAAAAAACTGGCAAAAGCAAGGAAGACACTTTCCACCAATGAGGCACCTACTTCTGCAGATGTTGTTCAGGCCAGTCTGGTGGAGGAGCCTGGAGATATGCTTGTCAGTGAAGAGGAGTCACTAACAGTTTCTGGCAGCAACATTGACACTGGCTGTCCAGAAATTGATTCGGTAATTGCGGCCCTGAATCTTCCTGAACAGGAAGATGACTCTGACAGTGACGTAAGCATTGGATTTGGGGAATCCGAATTTGACCTTGAATTTGACAGTGAGCCAAAGTCAGAGAACGAGTCAGATTAGAGCTACTTTGGTAACTTTGGTAAATGTTAACTTTTTCAAGTGACTTTTTTGACATTGAATTAGTATAGGTAATAGCATGGTTTCGAGTGCAATTTGGATATAACATGCATGAGTGTCAGTGTGTGTGAGTTTTTCAAACACCTCAAAATACTCGTCCTATTTGAGGTCTTTGAAAAACTCACAGGTGCATGTTTATCCAAATTTCACGAGAAACCATGCTATTCCTTATTAATAAATTATATAAAAATGTTCAAGATGAATTTGTAGTTTTAACTTACGTTTATAGCAAACATTCCAGTATTCCACTAGCTAGCGAAGTTTTCCTTGCTATGTTACTTATATCACATAATACAAGAACAACACTAACAGCTTGGAAGTTTTGAAGTTTTGTTAGTCTTGTTTAAGGTAAAGGCTTTTCCTTTTAAAAATGAAGATAAAAGCCATATTTTCCACCCGAAGTCAACTTTTACTTTATGTAGCGTGGCGCCATGTTTGTTTTGCAAGCAATAACTGTGACCGTTACTTATATAAACTACACCGTTTTAAACTGATTGGTTGATTTTATCATCACAATGTTTTTCCACCAATCAGATCAGTTTGTTAGGCTACAGATTTTTGCACTGTTGTTACAGATGAGATTTATTTTTTGCACTGCTGTTTGTGATTAACTGCACTGAAATCAACCAATCACAGTCGTAATATGTTTATGTATATTATTAATTATGTTAAAGTGATGAAGTAAAGTTCATTACGTACTGGTACGTAAGTATAACATCATTTGATTAATGTTTTCAACTCATAAATTTAATTAATAGTAATTAGTGTACATTGTTATTATGTTCATGCTGTACAAATTAAACTACGAGTAGCACATTCAAGTACATTGTGACTTTGTCACTTACAAATAATACGCGTGTAAATGCAAATGACATCTAAATCTAACATGTTAACAGTTGTACTTTGTCTTTTTATTTATTCTATATTATTTGATTGTTAATAAACGCCCCCCTCCCCACGCTATTTTTTAACTATCAGTCACAGCCGGCTACTTTGTTGGTACAACCACCTACTTCAAATCATTCTGCAACCCCTGACTCTGCTTGTTGACTATTTGCTCATAGACAACTCAGCTTCGTTGTCTAACTGTTAATTAGCCTGCAATCCAATGAGGACAGTGCCTGATTAACCATATGGCAGAAGTGGCATATGCCATGGGTCACACACTTTTAAGAGCCTTGCATTTTTCTCTCCCTGTTTCAGCACGGGTCAAGGGAGCCCTTCACATTTGAGAAGACTCATGAAACGCTATCCTTTTACTTTCCATTTAATATAATAAGACGATTTTCTGTGTGTTTGCCCTGGCACACAGCATTAAGTGTCTTTGAGCTGCTACCAGATTTGTGCACATCCAAAACGATCACATGATGACAAGTGTTAATCTGACCCCGGTTGAGGAAGTAAGCTTTGAAACCTTATTAGCCGAGATCTCCTTTGCTGAAGCTTCAATAGCATTCCAAAGTTCTTGTTTTGAATTGAACTGCTTGCCTGCCACATAAACTTTGCACATGATGATGCTCCCACATATTCTTGATTGGAGCATACAGGCCATTCCATGCTTGTGGTGTTTTTGACCAGCACGTGACGGTGCATTGTCTTGCATAAATATATTCTCTTCGTGAACAACAAACTTTTCTTTTTGTAGCAGGGTAGTAGAAACTCTTTTAAAAAAGCAGTATATGTTTCAGCAGTGATCTTCACCACATCCTTAACTCTAAAAGGGTCCAACTATTTCATCATGAATGATTCCTGTCCAGAACATAATTCCACCACCACCTTATTGATGTCGTAATCCCTGAGGAGAAGTTGACTGTGCGTCATACTCTACTCCAACCATCAATCCCACTTCCACACTTGATTAGGTACAGAATTTGAATCTCGTGTGTGATTGGCCATTTGTAAAAATATCCCAAACTGGTTTGGGAAATAAACATTACTGTAAGCTAATTATAGCTATGATTATATGATATTTCACCAGTCTTCATTCTCAGTATCCATTTGGTCAACTCTCCTTCGAACTCTCTCGATTCTTTTACCCACTAGTCTGTTCTGCACTGCAGACCACACTTGTGTTGTGTAGCATAGCTGCAACTTGACCATCGAGAGGTAAAGTGTAAGTCTGACTTTGACTTTCAAGTCATTCTTGGGAGTTTGCAACACTGAGTAGTTGTCAACAAGGCCAAGGGGAAATGTTGCAAAACGAAGCCATGTAAACGCTCATTTCGTTAAAAAGTTATTATTTTACAGAAAAATCAAGTTTAAAATTCAGTTTTCTTTATGGGGTTTATACTAAAACAATTAGACAACTCAGCCTTGTTGTCTCTGAGCGAATAGTCAACTCTGCTCGCCTCGTTGACTATTCGCTCATAGACAACTCGGCTTCGTTGTCTAACCGTTAATTAGCCTTCGATCCAACGAGGACAGTAGTGCCTGATTAACCATATGACAGAAGTGGCATATGCCACGGGTCCCATGCTTTTAGGGGCCTCACATTTTTTTGTTCACTGATTCGGCACAGGTCAAGGGAGCCCTTCGCATTTGAGAAGACTATGAAACGCTACCTTTTACTTTCCATTTAATATAAAGACAGTTTTCTGTGTGTTTGGGATGGCACACATCATCAAGTGTCTTTGAGCTGCTACCAGATTTGTGCACATCCAAAACAATCACATGATGATAAGCATTAATCTGACCCTGGTTGAGGAAGTAAGTTTTGAAACCTCAGCCAAGATCTCCTTTGCTGCGGCTTGAATAGCATTCCAAAGTTCTTGTTTTGAATTGAACTGCTTGCCTGCCACATAAACTTTGTGCATGATGATGCTCCCATATATTCTTGATCGGATTAAGATCAGAGGAGCATACAGGTCATTCCATGATTGTGGTGTTTTTGACCAACATGTGACGGTACATTGTCTTGCATAAATATATTCTCTTCCTGAACAACAAACTTTTCTTTTTGTACCAGGGTAGTAGAAACTCTGTTAAAAAAGCAGTATATGTTTCATCAGTGATCTTCACCACATCTTTAACTCTAAAAGGTCCAATTGTTTCATCATGAATGATTCCTGCCCAGGACATAATTCCACCACCCACCTTATTGATGTTGCATCATACTCTACTCCAACCATCCAGACCATCGAGAGTTGCCCCACATTCATCGGTAAATTATACGTTGGTTAAATACCCTGGTTCCTTGACCCAAACTATGACCCAAATTATCCATGATATGCAAATCGCAGATCCCTTCGTAATAAAAACCCAAAACAACTTCATTGACTCACCGCCTTTCGGTTTGTATGACATCTTCAATCATTTGATATACCACGCTACTAAATACGATAAGCAAGGACTTGCGGCATATAAGTCTTACAAAGTTTAACGACTTTTAGAAGATGGGTATGCTGAATCATTGGAGAAAGCAACTTTGTTAGACTGACCATTTGATAAGGACTGAAACTACAAACTGAAACTTAAGAACCATGGAATCAAGACAAGACTTTATACATTAATTTATACACTCTTGAATCAAATTACAATTATTTAAAAAAGGAAATTGATAGAAATTATTTGAGCTATTTTCATTTAGGTGCAAGTGTGGATAATGTCAGAAGTTGTAAATGTGTGTCTGATTGCAAGGAAGTTGTTGTGGAATATGAATGCCCATGGACTCACTTGACTCAGTGATGCCAAAGAAGCATTTCTTAGTCAGAAATTGGGGGTACGCAAGTTGCAGGATATTTTCAGTTGAAAACGACTTCCCAAGTACTATTATCAAGTGCAAATGTTTGTGTTGTGCCTTTTGTCATATGACTTTGTTATTTGGACTACAAAGGGTATCTTGACGGTTGAAATAGCATATAATGTTGGATTTATGAATGCTATTTTATTTCATTGGAGAAATTTTTGATATCCCAAATTGCGCCACTATTGATAGCACAAGTGTCTGGCAATGTGCCTGTGCAAAACCAAGCTAATACAATCATATATTTATGTGCTACATATATTACTGCAAAACAGAATTAACCCTTTTATTGACAATGCACCCTCACATGCCCTACTTTATTATTTTACTCTGTCTAACACCGGATTATTTTACTTTGTCTTATGCCAGACAATTTTATACTCATCAGGGGGAGAGTGCTGCCACTCATTGGGTTAACTTTGATTTGAAATCTTTTTTTGTCTTAGCTAAAATTCATTTAAAAAGTGTTGATAAGGATAATCAATAATCTGTGAAAAGCAGCATGCATGGTATGTTAGGGACCGGTCATTTATTACAGGGGGGGAGGGGCTGGCGGATTTTCATTTTCCTCAACATAATTTCATATGGCCCTGCTCCTGTCACTGCATAAAATAATGTGGCCCCCCAAGGGAGTGCACATGAAATGGCATGGCCCACCCTCAGTTACAATATTTATAACATTTATAATGCGACACAAGTATATTTTACTTAACTATTCAAAGCAAATAGCGAGTAGCCCTTCTACCAGATCTTGTAGTTGTCACTGTGATCTGAACATCGTATTCATCTTCTTCTGAACTCGAGCCAATCTCTGCAAGCACATAGTCTCTTTCATCGTTTTCTTCATCAAAAGACAAGTACTCTTCTTCATCTTCACTACTGCATGGTGGGTTTTCCTCTTCTTCCATAGAGTCTTGTACCTGTTGTTCAATAATGTGTCTCTGCACCTCCATCAGCATCCCTTGTTTGTTTGAAGCAATGTGAAGTCCATGCTGCTTCAAGTACTTATCAAGAACTGCTTTCGTCTGCTTACTAAGAGAACCATCTTTGAACATTCCATTCCAATCATACTCATGATATGTCTTACTTGCCTCAGCTGACTTTTTAGCTAATCTTTCCTTTTTTCTTTTTTCTTAAGTTTCAGCAATGTCAAATGCTCCAGATAGTTTTTCACGCATCCCTCTGCCACAACGAACTTTCTGGAAAATGTTGAGATGCTAGTTGGATCATCTAAGCAGCATTGACCTGATGTGTATGGTGCCTTTAGCTGTACCCGTGGCATATGTAATCGTCAATGTCCCTGTTTTTTGCTGGTGTTTTAGACAAAGGAAGATAATGTTGCCCATCACTTTCTTTATCGGGAAATGGCCTTGCAACATGATCAATCTCATCACAGCATTGTTTGTTTGTGCTGCAAAAGTCACAAAGTGTTTCACTTTCCCCATTTTCTTTACAGGCTCCTTTAAGAAATTCAAGGAACATCTCCCCAATGATACAGTGTTTATCCATAAATGAATATATCTTCTTAAAGTAGTGGTATCCAGGAACATGACGTTTTGCAGCATCTGTTTTAGCATTTGCATACTTCATGAGATACGATTTGTTAAAAAAGAACTGATAATTCGATGTTGTAGTTGTGTAGCATTTCATATAATCTTTACCAGGGCCAGGTTCATCGTCGACCATGGCTGTCACTTGTTTAGCCACTTCCCACGCATTCGTCTCCATACAAATCGCCTCTCTTTCTTTCACTTGTGATGCAGATAGTTTCTTGATCCCATACCTAAAATAATCCCATTTTAAAGCTGTCCCATCTACTAGGGCATCTCCAATTGATGCGTTCGTTCTCTCGGACTCGTTTTGAGAAGAGTCTCCCGGAGCACGATGAATTCTATTAACACGGTCTGATGAGTGTATTCTCGTGATTTCAACATCTCTAAAACGAGCTTCAATGTTACTTACGCCGACTCCAGGGCCTGCATCAGTAGTTTTGAGGATGCTACAGCAGATCTTGGGATGTCTCAAATGGTCTAAATCATTGAGATATTGCTGACAGTCACTTAAGATGTCCTTAGTTTCCTCCCATAACTTTCCTTGTCAAACATGCGTTAACATTTGCATTTGTACTGATGTTGCCTTTTCCTGAAGGTTAGAGAGGTTTTCCAGTAATTTACTCCTGATTTCTTGCTCAGTTTCTGCTGCAACCTCTTGGTATTGGATTGTGATATTGCTAATTTGATTTTGAAACCAAATGAGTTTTTCCTGTTCATAGCAGTAGTGCTTACAATTCGTTTCAGTAGTAACGCGCATGACTTCTTCGATTGTCAAATCAGTAAAGTAATACACAGCATCATGGGAGCGAATAGCTAGCTTTTGCATCTCCTTGCTTAAAGCATTGTTCTGTGAATTCGCTTGAAAGAGTTGGGGGACTTCGTAGCATAAGCACATGTAATCTGAGGCCCACACGCTACCGCTACTCCCAATGTAATATTTGGGACGAATGATTACCAAGCTTTGATCTTGGTCGCTTATTAAATTCATGTTTTCCTTGGATAGTTTCAATATGCTTCTTAATACAGCGGAAGGATGCAGGAGTCTGTTTTACTTGAGGAATGTTAAAATCGTGCTGGGCCAGTTGTTTCTGCTCATCAGGATCACAGACATTATATATCACACCAGCTTTCGTATTTCTCGCTCCTACATCTGTGCCTGGCCGTAAATACGCCTTATCATCCATGCTCACAACAAGCCTATGCTCTTTTTGATTTTCAGAAAACATTGTGAGCTTCGCATTCAAAACATGAGCACGTTGATGATGTGTGCTTACTGTGTCATGGTCTTCTGTTTTCGGGGGTTTTTTACTACACCAAAGCCACTTTCCAACGTGTGACTTGGCAGCAATAGACCTGATATTTTTGGGCTTTCCCTGATTTCCTACTGTGGTTGCTGATTTTATAAGTCTTTTACCACGTTTCATTAAAGAGTAGTTGGTGAGATGAAGAAAGTCTCTTTTCTTTACTCGGTGGTTTGTGAAAAGTGTAGTTTCATGTCGTCTTCCGTGGCAGGTGCTTTTTGTTGAAATTGCCTTGGCTATGAAGGTTTCGTCTTCTGAATCCAGCAGTTGTGGTGCTCCTGCCCCTAACTTTCCTTTTTTTAGTCTGTTGTTAGCTATAAGATCTTGAGCAATTTTCCGTTTTCTTTGTTGTGTTTTCCTTTGTGAAGAGGAGCTTTCATTTTTTTCTAACTCTTTCAAGTTAGCTAACCTTTCTTGTAAGGCATCTTTTTCACCTTCAAGTTCGCACTTCCGCCTTTCTGAAAGTAATGGTTTCTCTATTTTCGTATCAAGCTGCTGAATCTTTTTCTCCACATTCTCAACTCTCTTGTGTGTTCTGAGCTTCAAAAGTTCTTCAGCTGTCTTTAATGCATTCTCGCTTTCATCTGCGACAGTCAATACTTTGGAAAGAAACTTGACTGCTCTGTCTGGCTTGATTCCCAGTTCATATGTTTGAGATCTTGAATGAAGTGCAAATATAACTGCTTTTAGTGCCATTCTGTGTCAATTGAGTTCAAAATCTTGTTTAGAGATTTAGAATCGAGAAGAAATCGCTGATCTTTTAAACTACTCATTGCATTTTCGTCTGACAGCTTTTCGAATTCTAAGAGAAGTCCTGGACACTAACCTCTTCATTTTTTAATAAAATGTACCGTTTTCCAAACACTACAGTTATAATAACACATAATCCATGATCTTCATGAAGTAAATGATCACGGAACAAAGCTTCTTCAGGAGCACTATCAAAGAAGCCACAATAGAGCCCATAAGCATCTTTAAAGGAAATAAAACCAATTGCATTGATCGAATGCTTACTTTGCACCAAAAGTTGATTCAATATATAAATCAAGCCATTCAATGTCTTGCCCAGTGATTTGCTTTTAGTACATTTTGGCAATCCCTCTAGCTTGTCCAAGTTGTTTCTTGCTTTACATGTTTGGAGCGAGCTGCGAAGGTGTTTTCCTACACATGACTCAGATCTTGCTTTGCTTTGTATTGCATATTGTCCAGTTGCTATATCCGTGAATTTCTCTTCAATATCTACTTCCTTCTCTGGGTTACTCCTGTTAATTTCCATATCTACCATGTTTATAAATATGCAATTCCTTTGTAATTGAACCACAGGAGGACTGGGACGTTTGTTCCCAGTACTCCTCCGTTCAGTGTAGTTAGAAAATCCAAAATGGCG